GTACGTAGGCAGGAACGTATGTGTGGATGTATGTATGTATGTATGAGGGTTATCGTTAAGTAGGAATATCGTTGAAGTAATCGCTCAGTCTTAAAATGTTCCGTTCGTTTATCAAGTATAAAAGAGGTGAGGGAGAAAGGTAGCAATAATAATAACGATCGCTTGACGTTTGTCAAGGGACATGTTAATACGCTCGTCTCCTTCTCTCTGGTGACAGGTGAACTTGCTCGTCTTTTATTTTGTTTGTGGGGCTTGAAAAGGTCATTTGGTAATTCACTCTCGGATATGATTCGGGCTTTTCCATTGGACGACGAACAAACTTCGCGTCGGCTCGCGAAGAGGTCCGTAAAAGAATTTGTTTCTGAGAATTGAAGATTATCTGAATTTTGTTTTTTTAATGTTTCCTAGTTTTCTATTGGCCGAAAAACATTTCGCATCAAGGTGTGAAATTTCACGAGTTTTGTTTTGGATTCGCTTTTGCGTGTGTGTTAAGCAAAGTTTGTAAATTCGAGTCTTTTTAATTTCTAACAAAATCAATGATTAGATTTTGAATTTTAAATCTAGATCTTGTTTTGTTCACTATAATGTTAATACGTGATGAAATCATCACTTGTTAATCGTTACCAATTGCTAAGACCTTCTGTGTCTTATTTTTAAACTATTTTTTTTTCAGCGCAGAAAGTAAGTAATGTATGTTTCAAAATATCTTAAACTTTATAATTTCTAATTTTCTTAAAATAAATTTTGGAAAACACTAATTGATTTTTAAAAGATTTTTAAACGGAAAAATTTCACAAGTGTTTATAAAATGGAAAAAATGGTTAACATGATCGATTTCCTGTCAATTTTGATGACTAAAAAAAACGAGAATTTTAATGAAAATCTCGGACGTGCTAGGAACGATTAAAAAATATAAAAAAATATACCAAAAAATACTTTGATCTTTCCTCTTCATAGTAACATAAACATTTAGACAGTAAAAAATTATTTTCATCAAGTTTAAGGTCCTTTTTCATCATGCTATGCTTTTTTTTAGCGATCTCATGGAGGATCCTACATCGAATCGTCATTGTAGATGAAAACTATGAACAACAGTAACAACACATTTAAAAATCTCTTAAAATTCCAATATTAGTTCTAGATATGTGTTTCAAAGTCAGTAAATTTAAGGATCAAGTAACTAGATATTTTTGTTAATATACGGGGCGAATTTACCGTCTATTCAGTTTTGATATTGCATAATTCTTTTTTTATTGAAACAACATCTTTTTTCTTCGTTGTAAAAATAAATTGACGGACACGAACATCCTACAAATTAAAAAATACACACGTGATATCGAAATCGAGGTTGAAACGACCCATCCAAATTTTTTCACGGAGTTTTCTAATAAAATACGATATTCAGTATACAACAATGAATTAGTTCTAAAAATTTCGTTTGAATCGGATAGTTCACTGATTTTTGGCAAATATTTTAAAAAGGCGAGTAACGATTTCTTGCTTTCATTTCGAAAAAAAAATAATAAAATGCATCCATTTTGGTGATGCATATATGCGGGAATTTTTGCATCATACTTATACAGATCTCTCTCTCTCTCTCTCTCTCTCTGTCTCTCTCACACACACACACACACACACACGCACACAAACACGCGCACATACACTCGCGCGTGCATACGTATGTGTTTGTGGTGTATTTAGGCAGCAATGTTTCATTTATATAAGTTTGGTTAACGGCCAACCACATTTATTTGCTAAGACTTTGTTTTTAAATATATCCTCATCTTGCTTCCAGTTTTGAAAAAGTTTGAATATAAATTGTACAATGCTTGAGTTTGAGGTCCTTTCGGCATCTCTAAGCCATTATAAAAGCTATTTTACTAACAATGTATGTATTGGGCTTTTTGTGTCATGTCCTTTTCGCTTTTCTTCAAATAACGCGTCTTCACATGCCAGTTTATGTCGTCATGTTTTTTTCAATCTCCCTCTCCCCCTTCTCTCTCTACACAAACACACGCGCGTGCACGTGTGTGTGTGTGTGTGTGTGTGTGTGTGTGTGTGTGTGTGTGTGTGTGTGTGATATAAAAAGATTATTTCACTCTACTGGTGTGTGAAATTGAATCAAAAATACTTTGTCTCCTGATGACTTGATTTCAAGATTACGAAACTGAATACAGCGAAGTAATCATTTTAGTTATTTATCATTATTATTATTATTATTATTATTATTATTATTAATGACCTATCCTCGGTATTAAGTACACTGCTTGCCTAAAATATTTTTTTCATAAATACTTATTTTCTTTGTTTTATACGTACGTACGTACGTGTGTGTGTGTGTGGGGGGGGGGGTTCAATTTAAGGAATGACAGCAAAAACATCCTCCCCCGCAAATTTATAGACAAATACGAGATGCATGATGCTGGGATTTCTTCCTAACCAATAAAAATGAATTATTTCTTCCAATTTTTGTTCTTTCATGTCTTGGAGTCAGAACTATAATCACTTGACTGTATCCCTTTTGCATATGAACACCATTCGTACTTTGTGAACAATTTGTCTTATTAACTTTGGTTTGCCCACTTTTGACTTGTATATATATATTATTTGCTTAGTATTATTTGGCCCTGTTCTTTTACTCCAATATATATATATATATATATATATATATATATATATATATATATATATATATCACGTAACATTGGATTGGAGTCAATACTTAGAGGCAACAGGCTGTTTCATGCTAGACGCAATCGTCAGGCCAGGAGTGTTGTTTTTTTTCTCGGCTATTTATATATACGGGTCAGTGGTGCATTGTAGGTAGTCTATTTTGGCGGTTATTTTGCCGGAAGTCTTTTATTTGTTTATTTTTGGGGGTTAAATTATTTTGCTTTTTTTCATTTATTTTTATTTTTGTTTATATTTTTATTTTTTATTTTTATTTCTCATCTTATATATTTATTTATTTATTTTTTATTTTAATCGGTGTTTTATTAACGTAATACAAATTGGTTTATATCGCTTATTTAATAGTTTTGTTTTGGTTTGGGAAGATAAAGCTATTTATTAAATTTTGGGGTTGACTGCTGTAGTTTATTCTAACTATTATTTCGGCGAGAGCAGTTTTTAATTTGTTTATTACTTTATTTATTTATTTGGATTAATTATCTTTACTTGTTTTTTTTAACGGTTAATTTATCGGGAGTTTGTTTATTTATTTGGATTAATTTAGATTAATTTATTTTACTTGTTTTTTATTATTTATTTATTATACTGTATATTTTTATTTAATCTTTTCGGTTTTCGATTTTTAAGTCACGTAGTATTTTTTATCGTTATATAACAGTTATAGCGATGTTTTTCGTCCGATTTTTGATTTGATTTTTATAGTCTAACTAATATTTTGTTCATAACGGTTTCTTAATTTGTTTATTATTTACTTTATAGAATATAAAAAATAGACAACCCACAATGCACCACTGAAAAAACAACACTCATGGCCTGACGTTTGCGTTATTTTCTGTTCAAATACGAAATGATGTTAAACAAACATTCTAATCTCTGTTTGACTAATTTTACACTTTATATATATATATATATATATATATATACTCTTCATGTTCTCACCTACAACCTTTTACGGGTAAACAAATTCGCAAAGAAAGAGATACAAAAAAGGACTTTCTCTTTCATTTCCTCTGAACATAAAAGAGCTCAACTGTGCAAAGAGAGATTGGAATGCCAATGACTCTCCTCAAAGTTTATTTCAACGCATAGACAATAAAATGTTACAGAGCTGCTTTTAACACTTCCCACACGCATGAACAGTAAAATATAAAAGCGAATACAGACACAAGTCCTGCTATTCGATCTTCTTTTAATCCGATCAAATGTTTATTAAACCAAGAATAAAAGAAAAGGGGTAAAACGAAATAAAAAGGGAAATATTAGGACCTGTCTTTAGAATCGCAAAAAAAACGTGGAAAGGTAGTGCCCATAGTCATTAGCACACCCAGGAGTTCCAAAGGCTTTTGTAAAAAGTTTAGATGATTTTGAGGCTAGTAGAAGAACTGAAATAATACAAACTTTAACACTACTGAAATCTCAATCGATGGCCAGATCACAATGGTCGAATCGTTCTTATATTGAAGGCATTGGTCCGAATGGAATAATAATAATAATTCCTTATCCCAGAAATTCAGAAATAAATAATAATAATAATAATAATAATAATAATAATAATAATTTCTTCTTTTTCTTGATCATCACCACTCTGGCCATCGATTGAGAAGAAAGAAAGATTATTATTATTATTATTATTATTTCCTTTAATTTTTGGTGTATACTCGTTTTTTCCGGGTCCCAACCAGAGACCTAAGTTCAGAGAAGGCATCATGGCATTTTCCACTGAGCATTTAAAAAAAAACTAAGATCACACAAAGTTAGATATAGATAAAGCCCTTCGTAAGGTGTGGGCTGTACTCGTGAAAACATTTTTTTTTATATTTCTTTAAGGCTAGGGCTACCAGGAATCCCTTCAATGAGTCTACCAGAACCTTTTTCAATCAATCCATGGACTCCAACTGCAACTGGAATTATTGATGTCCTCATGTGCCATATTTTTTAGATTTCGATTTCAAGGTCCTTGTACTTTCATAGTTTTTTTTTAAGATCTGCAAAGATTATTATTATTATTATTATTATTATTATTATTTATGTCTGAATTTCTGAGATAAAGAATTAGCATTATTCTATTCGGACTAATGTCCTCATTATAAAAACGATTCGGCTCTTGTGCTCTCCGGCCTTCTTCAGGTGTTTGTCGTCCGAGTAACCTTCAAGGGAATTCGAACCTAACTCTTTATTTAATCTATTGCAATAGGTTATTCACGTTCCGCTATCCATATCTAAGGATACCTTCGTAAAATAACCATATGCAATCTACACAGACACGCGCGAACACATACAAATACACACACATAGACACACACAAAAACACGATAGATAGATAGATAGATAGATAGATAGATAGATAGATAGATAGATAGATAGATAGATAGATAGAACAGTTTCCTGCCTTAATCATCCTCAGACTAAGCAGTACTTATCTTCGTATAGGCTTTCAATATATTGGCCATATGCAGGCATTTATGAGAAGACTGAAACTGCTTTTTGTTTAGGTCTAATGTTTCCGGATTGTTTATAGTCTTATTTATTTGTTTTTATTTCATTTTAGTTTTTATTTATTCTTACTATACTTCCTTCGGTTCTAAAGTTTGGTGTTTGCTTTTAATGAAAATTTATTTCTTTTAGGTTATGGATTATTAGTTGTTTAGTATTTGGAGCCGTGACGTGGTTGTAAAGAGCGCAATAAGAATGTCTTCGTGTCTACATTCCGAAATGAGATCCCTTTTTTTAGGAGTTGACGTGACTCCAGAAAGGTAATTAGTGTTCTCTTCTCATTTAAACCAAGTTTGTATGCTTGGATGTAGTGTTGTAAGTTAACGTTTCCCTTATTTTCTACGTTATTTTTCGAGTGTTTTGTCTTGTGCTTTTGAAGTTTCGTGCGTGTTTTGTGAATCGTTATTTATTTTTAAATGCTGATTTATGTCAGTAGTTTGTATTATATTTAGTAGCTCAACAGATGCCTATAAAAAAAAACTATCTGCAAAAAAAAAAAAAAAAATGCAGCCTTATATCCCTTATCACTACCTAAGAGTGAAGACTTTATTAACCAATGAGGTGTTTGAACGGGACTTTTCTTGATAAGTCTTGATTTTGATCCTGTTTATGGCGACGACTCTCCTCAAAGTTATTTCAACGCATAGACAATAAAATGTTACAGAGCTGCTATTAACACCTCGCAACACGCCTGAACAGTAAAATATAAAATCAAATGCAGGTACATTTCCTGCTATTCGATCTTCTTTTTATCCGATCAAATGTCGATCAAACCAAGAATGAAAGAGAGAACAAGAAAAACGAAATAGTACATACCTTCGTTTCTACTACGGATGACCTCGGCACCTGACAGGTTAAAAACTTTAACAACGTATCAAATTTCGTTGTATCCATTTACCAAGAACACCTGGCTCTGGATAATAATAATAATAAAAGAAAAAAAAAAGAATGCTCTGGAAAAAAAAGGGGGGGGGTGATAAAGAAAACTCTCCCTTTCTATCATTTCCCACCAATCAGAAGAACGGGATTCAAACTCACGATTAAAGTGAGTGGTCCTCGTGACCTAAATATAAACAAATTCGCCGGCCGGTGAAAATCATTATTCATTCCCGCCTCGTCAGGATGGATAGGCACACAGACATGGGGCAGTGGCGTAGCTAGAGAGGGGGCGAGGGGGCGGACCGCCCCGGGTGCCAGCACAGGAGGGGTGACACAATGTCACCCCCAACAAAATTTTTCAACCAGGCTAAGGTGCCAAAAATAGTCTGAAAACAGTGGTGGAGACACAGGGTTTCGCAGGCTGGCATATGACCCCCCCCCAGAAATAATTTATGACCCCCCAGTTTTGTCCCACCCACCGTCAGAAATTTTCTAATAAATTGTCGGGAAATTTGTGAGTAGGAAAAATAGCAATGTTTTCAGCTTTTGATTTGAACTGATTATTTTGTGGTATTGGATTTTGTCTTGGATCATACATGTAAACAGTAACGTACCGGTCAGTAGAGTAAAGTAGAGGTAGAGCATGTATGAAAATTTAGCTACAGCTAACCATTCAGCATAGGGTGAATCGGGGTCATTGGGGTGACATTTGAGCGGACCGCCCCGGAGTGACGTTTATTCTAGCTACGCCACTGCATGGGGACAGCCTTAACAATTAACATTTTCATCTGAGAGCGAGAGGATTATTCTGAGGCGCCTAGTGACTCACCAAAAAACTCCGGACAACGTAACCGAAGGTAAAAACTGATAATTTGTTCTGAAACTAACTTTAAAGAGATGTAGACCAAGCCTTCCTTCGCCACATCCCTGATACCATGAACGCTTCATTCGGTTTTTCCTCTTCAACAACACCCCCCTTCGTTTCTACGACGGATCACCTCGACGCCTGACAGGTTAAGAACTTTAACAACGCATCAAATTTCGTTGTGTCCATTTACCAAGAATAGCTTTAAGCTTTTTCAGCTGTGTAAGTTCCACTTTCACACAGTGCGTAGTAACCCCGGACCAACAGACCGAAGGGCAAGCCTGATTTGGAGTCCCGGGCAATGCTATTTTAAATTTTCGCTATTTTATCAACATTTGCTTTTTTTCTACCTACATTTAGATACGTTACAAATTAAACTAAGCACAACTGAGTATTGAGAAATTAAACATTTTTCACGGATTTTGACGTCATTCTGGGTTCTGCATTTTCGTTTTATGTGTGTGTGTGTGTGTGTGCGTTTAGAGAGAAAGAAGTGAGAGTGTAAGAGAGAATAGTCTGTGTGCATGTTGAAACGAGAAAAAGAAAGTGTGTATATGTCTAGAGAGAAATGAGAGAGTACGTGTGTATGAGTGTCGAAATAGCAAAAATGTGTGAGAGACATTATGTGTGTATGCGTATGGAAATAGCAAAAGTGTGTGTGAGAGAGAGAGAGACAGTACGTGTGTATGCGTGTGGAAATAGCAAAGCTATTTCCATACGCATACACACGGATTAAATTGTCATGTACTGTATCACTTCAGGACATATGCGATCATAGCTCTCCACTACTTCCTATCTTCTAAGCAATATGTCTCCTTGCTTACCCGTCCCAGTCTATGTTCTGCCATCCATTTACACAAATATAATAGTGTGAGAGAGAGAAAGAGAGAGACAGTACGTGTGTATGCGTATGGAAATAGCAAAAGTGAGAGAGAGAGACAGTACGTGTGTATGCGTGTGGAAATACCAAAAGTGAGAGAGAGAGAGAGACAGTACGTGTGTATGCGTGTGGAAATACCAAAAGTGAGAGAGAGAGAGAGAGACAGTACGTGTGTATACGTATGGAAATAGCAAAAGTGTGTGAGAGAGAAAGAGAGAGACAGTACGTGTGTATGCGTGTGGAAATACCAAAAGTGAGAGAGAGACAGTACGTGTGTATGCGTGTGGAAATAGCAAAAGTGAGAGAGAGAGAGAGAGAGACAGTACGTGTGTATACGTATGGAAATAGCAAAAGTGTGTGAGAGAGAAAGAGAGAGACAGTACGTGTGTATGCGTATGGAAATAGCAAAAGTGTGTGTGTGTGAGAGAGAGAGAGAGAGAGACAGTACGTGTGTATGCGTGTGGAAATACCAAAAGTGAGAGAGAGAGAGAGAGACAGTACGTGTGTATACGTATGGAAATAGCAAAAGTGTGTGAGAGAGAAAGAGAGAGACAGTACGTGTGTATGCGTGTGGAAATAGCAAAAGTGAGAGAGAGAGAGAGAGAGACAGTACGTGTGTATGCGTGTGGAAATAGCAAAAGTGCGTGAGAGAGAGACAATACGTGTGTATGCGTATGGAAATAGCAAAAGTAAGAGAGAGAGAGAGACAGCGCGTCTGTATGCGTGTGGAAATAGCAAAAATGTGAGAGAGAGAGTGAGAGAGAGAAAGTGTGTGCTAGCGTGTGGGAAAGAAAGAAAGAAAGAAAGAAAGAAAGAAAAAGAGTCCTTTTTTTTTGATTCGGGGGTCACTTTACTGGTAATAACTATAACGGTCGCCTATTGACAAAAGAAGACAAAACACTTACAAGCATCTCAGCGCTTCTTATATCCGTCATTTGAAGTCGATGGTGTTCATGGTTGTCATTATGAGTCGCAGCACAGGGACAAGCTATTTTCGAAATTGCATACTCGGCCGCTTTCTGAACGTAAGAGCTGTTAACATCAAGAACCATTTGACGCTTCCCGGCGGCCAGAAGACCCAAGATGAGAAACACTCCAAGAAACAAAATTGGCAGCGTGAGACGTCGGGCCATATTCGTCTGATCCAGGGATTAAATTGTCGCCGGTTGGGAAGACATGTTGGCCACTGAATACGTCAACAAATGAGTTTATAAACGAATCTCTGTTGATGGGAGACAGGTCGGTCACTGATTCGATTGAACTATTGGACATTAGTCAATCTTGCTGTGCATAATTTTACATTGATTTTAACCTCCATCTGGCCAACATTATTCAGCCGTAACATAACAAGTAACCTTTTCACCAATTGCAAAATTTGCCAACAACATCTGATACAAAGTAAAACTACGATCATGGAAGAACTTTCACCATGTTTTTAAAATCAATTCCTTATTGCTAGATTTATTAAAGGAAGGTATAAACAAATTCAAATATCCCATAATGCACATGGGTATCACATGACTACTTTTTGGTTTCCCCACAAGAAAGACCGACAGAGTTTAATTTTCCTCGGATTTTACATTGTTCCATACTTCTTTCATGTACTGTATCTTTTCAGGACATATGCGATCATGGCTCTCCACTACTTCCTATCTTCTAAGCAATATGTCTCCTTGCTTACCCGTCCCAGTCTATGTTCTGCCATCCATTTACACAAACCCGTTAGAGAAGTTACTCGTCCTTTCCTTCTGTCCTTCTTGCTTTCAATGTCTTGTGAGTGTTAAATTATTCAAGCCCTCTTTCCTCATTAGGCACGCCAAGCATTTCAATTGTCTCTATCCACATGCAATTGTCCTTTTCGTTTTCATTTTCCTCGTTGCTTACATATTCTGTTCATGGTATTCTAACCATTCTTCTGTAGAACCACATCTCTGTTGCTTGGAGTCTTCTCTTCATCTGGGATGAAATTTCTGTATCATTCACTGCCACATACGAGGAATGATATTACACAAAAGTTGGACACTTTTATCTTTGATCCCAACGAAATTTTCCTGTCTCTTAATATTTTGCTTAGCTTTTGAAAGGCAACTTTCGCTATTCCAATGACGGTTCGTTCCAAGGCTGCCTTCTCAATTTCAGCCAGCCACGTGGCACATTGCACCCACTTTCTAATACCAAAGATTATAATGTTTCTTCCCCTTTTTTTCAGCTCTGTAAAAACAAGTAGATTTTCTGTCTTCTTGAATGATGTTGTTCTTTATATAAAAATATATGTATAAAA